TAGCAAACTGTTGAGTGACCTTTATTAGCAATGGAGAAGAACGATTTTGTTCGAAATTAAAAATTTAAATTTCAAGCACCTAAGTCCCTAGAAAACGAGAACATTGAACCTCTGAATATTCAGAAAATCCTGAAAGGTTAATATCTTCTATCGGCATTGCTGCAATTTTCTTAACGTCGGCTTTTCAAAGGAAAACTGCTGCAAAGACTTGACTACAACAGGTCTCTCATAAGTTTTTGCTAACATTTGTTTATATTAAACTTTGGGTAAGTTTTCAGTTTTTTCAACAGTCAATGCAATTTACATTTAGGTTGTATATAATATTGCTGTTCTTTAATTGATTTTTAGAGAAAACAGGGTCTTAATGATAAGTTTTGCCCTATAAAAATGTTTGATAGAACGCTTCCCGACGGAGTTACAGGGTGTTAAAAGTTTCAATTATTTATATTATTTTTCCTGTAACTTCACTGGCATAAAACATTGAGTGATAAAAATTGGGGGATGACATTTTTTTTAGTAGCGACTATTTTTTCATGGATAACTTATTCCAAAATACACTCCAGTGGCGTAGTTACTGGAGGAGTACGTTCCTTTATAGAAATATCGACCTCCGCGAAGTAATTTCGAAGCGCTAGTTTAATGAAGATACAAGACAATACATTTCTGAAGTTGCAGCGGATGCCTCGAGGGCATAAACCCATGTTGATAGTATTGCACCCTAACTTCAGGACTGGTAAGGTAAGTAAACGTTAGATGTCAACTAACGGAAAATCTTGGAGCGTTAATATTACATTTCTCCCAAACTGAATGTATCTACAAATTGTAATTGACAGATGTTTGTATAAACAAATAGCCTCTTTTGAAATTTTAGAAGAGTTGTCGGTTCAATACCCTGAAAGAGCTTAAATTTTTACGATTTAAATTAGATAAATGTCCAGAAGAAAATTTCCGTAACTGCCGTTACGGAAGTTACAAGCCTTTAATGTTGTCACATATAAAACTAATTTAATTAATAACTTCATAACCCTTTTGCCAATCATGTTAAAATTTGGCACATTTATTTGGACTATTATGACGTATTATTTCTTAAAGCTTTAGTCAATTCGATATACTGAGTGATAGTTTTCTCCAGTTACCTCTCCCTTTTAGCGGTAGAAACTTTTACAGTGGTCGTATTTTTTTAAAACGGGCAGAAACATTGAAATGGTAATTTTATTTAAAAAAAATGTTGTGAAAGTCGCCTACAGAAACCCAATCTTGAGAAAAATGGGAGTATTTGTAGGTCTGTGCGTTTCGAGATTTTATCAAGAGATATATTTTTTTAAATAAAACAATCTTTTCAATGTAGCTGCCCGTTTTAAAAAAAATACGACCACTGTAAAAGTTTTGAAAACTAAAAAGGAGAGGTAACCGGAGAAAACTATCACCCAATATATCGATTTGACTAAAGCTCTAAGAAATAATACGCCAAAATCGTCCAAATAACGTAACAAATTTTAACGCGTTCGGTAAAAGGGTTGTGAAGTTATTAATTAAATTAGTTTCATTTTTGTCAACTTTAATGGCCTGCGTGACTCAAAAAGTTTTTTTTAACTTTTTCCCTTGATCGTATTTATTTGTCGTCGTGAATATGCAGTCAAACGTTGTCGATAAAATTTGCAGACACCCTGTATAATGCTTGTGTTATGTAAGAAAAATAGAAACTAATTAATAATTTGCTGCATTAAGTTTGAATTAAATTCAACACAAGACCAAATACTACCTATATTATAATTTAGTAAATTTTGAAATTTATGCACTCAAGAAAAAACGACATTTATATTTTTTGTTGCAAAATATGCAAAATGATATGACTTTGGAATCGCATTTCTCGCACGTCTTAAAACGCACAGATCTACATGTTGAAAATGGTCTACTGCCGACAATTTTGGGATTCTAGTGTTATTACATTGAAGCTTTTCACCTCCGAATTCTTTGAAACTGAACCGATCGACTTGAAATTTGGCAGATAGTTAGAGAAAAGGTCAATGAACATTAGTGACATAGCGCCGATTGACGCTTCCACTCTGTTGGGGGTTGACACCCCTTCTCGGGGGTGGACATTTTTTTTCAAAAATATCGCTGAATCGATGTTGATTTCTCGAAGAATTTTTTCGAGAAATCAATAGTTTTTTAGTTATTCACGATTGAAAACTTCTGAGTGAAAAAAAAACACTTTTTCAAAGTATTTTATTAAAAAAAGTGTAATGAACAAAAATGTTGCTTAAATTTAAAATTAAAATAAACAAAGAAAATCGGGTTTTAAAAAGTGTTGTACGTGCTATACAAAGCGAAATATGGTTAGTGGGAGCGGACTTGTTTTGGGGGGAATACTCGAATCGATGTATTCAACGTCAAATAACGGAAAAAGGATTAGTATTACGTGTATAACGCTCCAGGAGTTTTTTGTAATACTCAAAAAGACCTTCAAAATGAGCACTGATAAAATAGAGCAAAATTGAAGAAGTTATGGTCAAAAACAGATGGGTTGCTCATATTTTTTAAGGAAAAATGGGCAGTAAACGCTGTACCATTTCCATCAGAATTAAAATTAATAGTAGACCCTTTACAATTAGTTTTATTTTAGTGTTTTTCATACGATTCTGATTTTTTTAATAATGTTCTTGTTTGTTAATTATTTATCGAATAGTATATCTTGTAATAATCTTCTTTTTGCAGATGATTTAAAGATTTTTACAAGTATTGAGAATGAGGAAAATTGTAGATATTTACAGAAACAACCCAACTTAATTGACAAATGGTGTAATTCAAATCGTTTAATGTTAAATATAAACAAATGTTATGTAGTATCATTTTCCAGGAAAAAACAAATTTATAATTATGATTATACACTTAATGATATTACAATCTCAAGAAGTGATTGCATAAAAGATTTAGGCATCTTCTTTGACTCTAATCTTACCTTTGTTACTCAAATTAATCATTTAGTTAGTAATGCCAATAGGACTTTAAGTTTTATATTAAGGAACTGCAAAGATTTTAGAAATATTAGCACCTTAAAAATTTTGTATTATACCTTGGTTAGGAGTCAGCTTGAGTATGGATCAATTATTTGGTTCCCAATTTATCAGTGTCAAATTGATAGTATAGAATCTGTTCAGAGACGGTTTTTAAAATACATTTCTTTTAAGGAAGATGGCATCTATCCCGCCAGGGGTATTGATAATCAAATAAGTAGTCTCCTTAGTAAGATACAATTTTTAGTACCGCGTACTGGTTCAAGATATAACCAAACTTTCTACTGTGATAGGCCTAGAACTAATATTTTACTTAAAGCACCTATTTATTATGCATGTTATTATTTTAATAAAATCTGTAATTACTGTGATATTAATTTTTCATCACTAAATACAATAAAACACGTTGTTTACAACAACGAGCAATTCTAGATATACCTAGTCAATCAAATTAATTTTTTTTCAACTTTTCTCTTATACAGAACAGATTTTGTCAAAATAAACTCAGAGGTTTTGTTATGATTATCAGTGTAACTGTTCTTTATTATTATTTTTCATTTGCTATGTACTTCCTGTAATTGGGTTTACTTGTTGGAAATAAATGACATTATTATTATTATAATGTACGGTAAAAGTTGAAAACGTATTTTTATGTAAGATACGTAAAAAATGATAGACAACAAAAATGTTGCTTTTTTTATTCCTATAGCATAAAAAAATAAAGGAGCTATCGCCGCTTGAAGTATCCACTTTAGTGAAAAAAACGACCTGTCTCGAACCCTTTGATCCTTTCCATTTAGAAAACGAAGGAGTTAAAAGGTTTTACATGCAAACGATCTTACAGCTCTTGAAATTATCTTTAAAATGCTTTTTTGTAAGATACTATAGCTTCAAAATTAACCGAGTTATGGTGAAAAAACCAATGACAATTTTTCGGAGCAAAAATAGGCTTTCTCATTTTTATATATATTATATTATACAAATAAAATTAGTAAAACAAATTAGTGTGATTATTTATATGCAGCGTAGCAATTTTTTATGATTGATTATATTTAAAAATCGATTATAATAAAAATATTTTACATTAATGGTAAAAGGGTAGTTTATAAGAGTTGAAAATAGCAGAAGTAAAATATTCTTTCATAAACAATATAAGGGAATTTTTATTTTAAATTATTGCACAATTATAGCATTCCAAGATATAAAACGTAATTTTTTTATCATTTTTTTTAGCACAGGGGTGATTTATAAGGGTTGAAAAATGTTATGAGATACAAATTGTTTCGTAATCAACGAGGGAATTTTTATTTTAAATAATTGCACCGTTACAGCAGTCCAAGCTTTTAAAAAGTATTTTTTTATCATTTTTGTCAATACAGGGGTGGTTTTTAGGGGTTGAAAGGGTTCTTTTATTAGCTATAAGGTAACTTTTATTTTAAATAATTGCACGATTTAATCATTCTAAATATTGAAAAAATAATTTTTTATCATTATTTTTTGCACAGGGGTAGTTTTTAAGGGTTAAATAAAGGGTCGAAAAGATCAAATATATCATAAAACATGTTCGAGAACATGGAACATTATTTAATCTTTGTGCTTGAACAAGATTTTTATCAATAAAATGCTTAAAACTTAATTTTTTCAATTCTTTTCACCTAAGGGTAGTTTTTACCCCTAAAAAACAAAAAGCGCCAATCGGGCTTATGTCGCGTTTGAACTTGAGCCTAAGATGAGCCTTATTCTAAATTTTCATGCAAATCCATGCAGTTCCAAAGAATTCGGAGGTTACAGCTGATTTTCAGATTCAATGACTGTACTATATGTAACTTGTTTGTTAGTGTGTTTATTATTAATCTATTTTTTCCAATAATATATTTGATTAGGCGGTACTAATTAATTCGGTGTAATTAAATTGTTCATAGGGAGCAAAGTAACCCCAAAAATAGAAAAATATATAAATGATGCCACAAGTATTGGACTTACAGTATTTATTCATCTGGTTTCCTTGGTGCTTCATACGGGGGAGGCTCCTCCTCGGTAATAAGTTTCAGTCTAACGATCTCTGAAGCCGAATCGTACACAACTCCAATAGAAGGTACTATAACATTTTCCATTTCCACGCTGTCGGTTTTTAAGGGCGGCGGGGTAAGTTTCCTTTCCCTGATGGAGGCAGCTCGATGGATCCCCGAAGAAGGCAACAGCGATTCTTGCTGAGTTTCGTTGCCGTTGCAGGTCCTCTCGGACCTCCAGTTCTCGAACCGACCCGCAGAAGGAACCCTGCCAGTAGGCCCATCGAAGCACGGGAGGACTTGTTTAAATTCTTTCCGGAAATTTTCATTTAGCCAAGCGTAAAGGAACGGGTTATAACACGTCGATGACATGGCTATAGCGTGCGTGAAGAAAAACGTCAAGTAATTGTAGTCCCAGTGCTCCATTTGCTGATAGAAGTCGTTAATTATGTTTATAGCGTTTAAGGGTAACCATGAGATGAGGAACACCGCAACCATTGCTATTAACATTCTGTTGGTTCTCCTTTTTCTTTCCCTGTCGGCTTCTTCTTTGCGTGAATTCTTAGACCCTGGCTTGCTCCTTGCCCTGTCGTTCAACTTAATCGATACGCAGATGTAGCAAAATGCCATGATCAAAAAAGGAATTATGAATTGCATTGCAGTTGTGATCCCCCCAAATGTCCTCCTCCATTCTTCGCTAGGCCAATTTTCATCGCAGAAATATTTCTCGATAGCGATTTCCGAAGTATTCTCGGTGGTGTGCTTCATATAAACCCCGTAGGGCAATGTTACCAGCATGGAAAATATCCAAATAATCACTATAATGATGATACACGTAGACAACTTCATCCTTGGATGAAAGGGGTAGATTATAACAAAATATCTGTCGATAGCTATAGACGTCAATGTAAGCGTTGAAATATAGACGCTGATCCCTTGAGCGTAAGATACCAGGTGACATATTATCCTACCGAACACCCATTCTCCTAGAAACGTGTACAAGGGTGTGAAGGGCACAGCTAGCACACACAACAGTATGTCGGACAACGCCAAATTTGTTATAAATAAATTTGTTACAGTCTGCATGGCCTTGTTCCTGAACACAACGTAACACACTAAAACGTTTCCAAATATTCCTAACACAAATATTGTTGTATACACCATGAAAAATACTACTTGAACTGTGTTATCGTTAATGATATTTTCGTTTGTGTCATTATTCGAAACAGCACTTGCCATTTTCACTGGTGTTGTATTATTCATTACTGGAGGTTTCTCACTTCGGTATGGTTCATTTTTAGCGCTCACTCGGCAATCGTCCCAGAATTAGCACCTGCGAACAAAATAAGTATATTAATGCTAATTTCACAAATTACAGAGTAAACTTTATATGAGTGTACAAGTATAAAAACCATGAGCATTTGTGTTTGATATTCAACATTTTATGGAAAATATGCTATGATAAATACAAAAGAATAGACAAAATAAGGCTTGATGTTTATGCAGCACCAGCAAGTATGTAAAGTGTGGGAATTTTTTGTAAACAAATGTACTTTACGTACAAGTTTTTTTCTACCAACGAAAAATATATGGTATAAATTAAAATACATCCATCTACTGTACGCTCATTACAGTAAAGTAATTTTATTTTAATTCTAACAATTTTCGTTGACAAAAAGTATACAGGGTGTGCCACCAGTAACACCTCGGTGGTTAGGGACCAAACGGCAAGTGATTTATTTTATTTTATTTAATACACTGTTCAACAGGTACTACCCAATTATAGAACAGGGATTTTACAGTTAATAATAAAAGAAGCACATTAATTACAAATAAAATAAAAAGGAACAAAAATAATACAGACCATCATAACAGAAAGAAGGAAATAAATAAAATTTTTACACTAAATGAAGATTAAAATTACATATTTGAAACTACCAGACATTAAAAATAAAGTATTTTTAAGTCATTAAGGCTGCAGTTAAAAATATTTGCAGAATTTTTATGACAGTTGTTGCAGATTTCATAAAGTGGTGAATGTTTGAGTACATTAGTACGAGGAGAAATTGATAATTTGGTTATAAATTGCTGGCAGTCGGCCAAATTACGTACAATTTTAAAAAGAAAGATCTACGAAAAGTATTTCCATCTAGTTTCAAGGCTAATAAAGGAATATCTACTTAAAAGGTCCTTATGTGGATATCCCATTTGAGGATAGTAGCCATCAGATTTAAAATTTAAAAATTTTAAAAATCGACGCTGAATCGATTCCAGTTTATTAATGTGGACACCACTGTGCGGAGACTATACAGGAAAGGCATATTCAAATTTCGGTCTAACGTAACTAAAGTAAAGAAGCTTTATGACATCTAAGCTTGAAAAATCAGGCAGTTGCGAACTATAAATCCATGTGTTCTATTAGCTTCGAAGACAGTTTTTCATTAAATACAACTCCCAGGTCTCGAAATGTTTTCGGTCTTGAAACATAATGCGATTGAACTTGTTGGAGAAAGACATGACATTACATTTTTCCGTATTTAACATTATCCTGCTATTATTACACCAATATTTTATATTAAGGTTTCGTTGAAGCTGAATACAGTCATTAATGTTGCGAACTGAGCTGTATATTTTCACATCATCGTCATAAAGAAGAAAATTTACATTTAAGTTGTTAACTAAATCGTTAATGAATATAATGAATAGTAAAGGGCCAAGAATGGAACCTTGAGGAACTCCTGATGTAGCGACATAATCAATCGATTTATACCCATTATAAACTATAAACTGTTTTCTGTTGTCTAAATAAGATTTGAAGAAATTTATTGAGGCTCCTGATACGCCAAACATATCAAGCTTCATAAAATTGAGTGATCAAGCCTATCAAACGCCTTGCTGAAGTCCGTATATATGATATCAGTTTGTAAATTGTTGCCTATAGAATCGGCTATAAATTGCATAACACTGATCAAGTTAGTGACAGTAGAACGTCCTTTCATAAAACCATGCTGACAGGGTGTTATCATATTAGAGATGTTATAATAAATATAGTTATGAAGTAATATTTCAAAAACTTTACAAAAATTACGTATAATGGATATAGGACGAAAATTAGTAATGTTTAGGTGGATAGGTGTAGGTTGATTACGGCTACATTTTAAAAATATTTTGAAATATATAGGATGTCCAGGAAAAGCGTACCATATCAAAGTTATGTACTTTTAAATGGAACATCCTGTATTTTACTGTATTTTTGAAAGCATCGTAAAAAATAGGTGAACTTTATTAAAAGTTCTTCACTGCATACCTAGGATTCTTTGTGAGATATTTCAATTTTAGTGAAAATGCAGGCTTAACGTAGAAATTTAATATTAGCAATAAAAAAGAGAGAGAGAGTGTGCTTTAGATCCTTGAAGTTATGAAATATATTTTTCGTCACTTAGTATTGTACAGGGTGTTCAAAAAATTGCTGAATACTTCTTTCAACTTTAAACAGCAGTAACTTGGTTATTTTAAATGGGACACCAGTATATTTTTACTTTGGAAGTTAGGAAAACTCTATCAAACTGTGTATAGATACCTCCATACCTATCTCTAAGGGTATTGGAGATATTTGTGCAGTTTCGTTTTTTATCGAATATCAACGTGTCTTTATCGAGGTCTATATTGAATTGGTAAAGCGTCAATCATGACAATATTCAAGAAAGTTTTTTATTAAAAAAATATTACTTTATAAGCCGAACAATTATAAAAAGTTATTCATTTTGTGTAAATATGTTTGTTGTACGTGTCAGAAACTTTTCCAAAAAAAAAAATAAAAAATTTAAATTAATTTTTATTTTTAATTTTCTTTTAAATGTAAACAACATCTAATGTAAAATTGTGGGAAAAGTCGAGAAAAATTCTTCTTTTATTTTAATAATGATTACGTAAGATTTAAGACCAATCTAATATTGAATTGTTACAAATTCATAAATTTCAAATGTGTTTTTGACATTTGACACAGTGATATTCACTTTGATAGGTTTGATTGTATGATGAAAATGTTAAAAAAAAGCGCATTAAGTTTTACACATTTATTTTTTAAAACGACAGAAAATGCAAATACACCAAAATTATAACATAAAATAACTGCACAAAAAAGTAAATGCTTTGGGAGGGATGAGGTGACACTTTAACAGCAAATTTTCAAAATTTGGCTTCAATTTAGTTAGGTTTTGTTTGTAGTCGGCAATTAAATTATGGTACAAGAAATTTTCTGAATTGTAGGTAACTTTATTATTCTTACACCAGTTTTTGAATTGATTGTGTTTCGATTTCATATTGACTTTTTTTGTAATACTAATTAGGTGGAATCTTTTCATAATCTAATGATGAATCTGATAAATGCATGTTAATATTGAATTCGATAATTTAAAATAAATAATAAATTAGGGACATAAATATAAAAACATACAAATTTGGTACAATTTTCAAAAAATGCTTAATTAGTAGGTACTTTTATCGATTTTAGGGAAAATTGTGGACTTAACGATAAAAAATTAACAGATTTTCTACACTGTAGAGCGTAGAAAAAAGTGTTTTTAATATCTACGTGTAAAAAGTGATTAATGTAATAAATTCATTTTATTTTTTCTCCTTTCCACGAGAAAATAATATTTCGGGTAAGTTAATTTCAAGTTATATTCTACGTTTATATAAATCCCGTTAATTGGGAAAATTTACGTAATGCGTAGGTATACTTAATTAAAATTAATACACTTATTTAAATTTATAAATTTGATACCTACTACTAATGTAACTGTACAATTTGCTGGCATTTTTTTATATACATGTATATTGACCCAACATTCTATACATTTTCAATCATTGTTTTTGTGTATTGCTATGAAATTGTAAGACAAAGTATTGGACATTGTGATCTATATTATTTTATTTCTAATTACAAAAAATAAAGGATATAAGCGAGGTAGAATGTTGAGCGAATATTTCTAAACATATTTTTTATTTGAAAATATGATTAGTTAGCTGTACTACGTCATATTTTATTTCGCCAGTTTTCTTCCATTCAATTTAATAGGCTCTAATTTAATTCTAATTGTTAGCATGTAAACAGTATTTAATGATTTTTAAATGTCGAGTATCGTGTTAAACAAATATTTTTTAAATTTTATGAAATATACCTGAATTAAAATTACGGCATAAATGAAAATCCTTTTTTCAATCATTTCTTCTCGTCATAGGTATATAAACTTTAAGTTCAATTTACATCAACTGTGACGATGCAAATTATAAATAATTATTAGTTTAGTCGCCTACATTTTCGAAGAACCACTTTTTTTATTATTACATTCACATAAATTAGGTATATACTGATTAAAAAAAAAACATTTCTAATTGTTGTACTCGTTTTTGACATTTTTCAAGTGACATCTTGTTATTTTAGGTTTATTGGGAATGTAATTCTGTGCCAGCCGGGACAAATAGCTCGGAAAAATTGGAAAATTTAGCGTTTTTTTTAAATTCATTACTCTGCCATTTTTTAAGTTGTAGAGCTGACTATGCACAAAAGTAGTGAATTATACCTATGTGCTTTAAGTGTATACAAAGCAGGCGTTGTCGGACCATTAGTTTTGACACAATTGCAATTTGAATTTTTTGGTGCATCATTTTGCAAAACTTCTGGACCTATTTGGCATCATTTTATCGGAAAATTAGAATATACGTTTTGTATTATAAGTATTATACTTCTACTTATAAAATCCGGCTGAAAATTGAAAATCGGACCACCCTCAACGCATCCAGAAATTTTGCAAAATAGTGCACCAAAAAATTCAAATTGGAATTGTGGTCCGACAGCGCCTGATTTGTGCACATTTAAAGTACATATAATTCACTACTTTTGTGCACAGGGTCTGCTCTACGACTTAAAAAATGGTGGAGTAATGAAATTTTAAAAAAACGATAAATTTTCCAATTTTTCTGGATTTTCTTCGTTTCTAATTATTCGATTGGATCGATCGACCTCTCGTTTTATTCGAATTTCGATTCTCTACAAATTGTCTGTTTATAGCATTCAGATTTCTTCTTCAGTTTAGGTTTTATAAGCAAAAAAAGTAAAAAATGCGTTTTTTGCATAAAAATGTTTATAAAAAATTAATTAATGGTAAATTGGGGTAGGAAACATATAAGCATACCTGTATATCTACAGAGTGTCTTTTATATGATGGCGCAGTCTGTTCGCTATTAGTATTTTTGTCACAAAATTTATTGTTATACTGATTGGGCTTATTTACACAAAAGAACTAAGTATTTTAAATTATAGACCCCAGA